CTGAGGGACTGACCACCTCAACACTACTCCTCCAGGCTGAGGGACTGACCACCTCAACACTACTTCTCCAGGCTGAGGGACTGACCACCTCAACACTACTCCTCCAGGCTGAGGGACTGACCACCTCAACACTACTCCTCCAGGCTGAGGGACTGACCACCTCAACACTACTCCAGGCTGAGGGACTGACCACCTCAACACTATCCTCCAGGCTGAGGGACTGACCACCTCAACACTACTCCTCCAGGCTGAGGGACTGACCACCTCAATACTACTTCTCCAGGCTGAGGGACTGATCACCTCAACACTACTCCTCCAGGCTGAGGGACTGACCACCTCAACACTACTCCTCCAGGCTGAGGGACTGACCACCTCAACACTACTCCAGGCTGAAAGACTGACCACCTCAACACTACTCCAGGCTGAGGGACTGACCACCTCAACACTACTCCAGGCTGAAAGACTGACCACCTCAACACTACTCCAGGCTGAGGGACTGACCACCTCAACACTACTCCAGGCTGAGGGACTGACGACATTATCTATTGCTTCTACTGCCTCTTCTGTATTCGACTGAAGCATCCTACTGCGTAGGTGACACAAAAACAGCTACAATACACAATACACGCAAAATTACAATACGCACAAAAATATAAACACCCACATTACGCACAAAAAAAACACTATACGAACAAGAAAACAGCCCAATAAGAGCAAAAAAACACAATACCAACAAAAAACACAATACGATCAAAAAACACTATACGAACAAAAACAGCCACTCACAACACTACAATACACACAAACACTAAAATACACAAAAACACTAAATACACAAAAACACTAAAATACACACAAACACTACAATACACACAAACACTAAAATACACACAAACACTAAAATACACAAAAACACTACAATATGCACAAACACTACAATACGCACAAACACTACAATACGCACAAACACTACAATACGCACAAAACACTATAATACGCACAAACACTACAATACGCACAAACACTCCCAATACACACAAACATTGCAATACACACAAACACTACAATACACACAAACATTGCAATACACACAAACACTACAATACGCACAAACACTGCAATACGCACAAACACTACAATACACACAAACATTGCAATACACACAAACACTACAATACACACAAACATTGCAATACGCACAAACACTACAATACACACAAACATTGCAATACACACAAACACTACAATACGCACAAACACTACAATACGCACAAACACTACAATACACACAAACACTGCAATACACACAAACATTGCAATACGCACAAACACTACAATACACACAAACATTGCAATACGCACAAACACTACAATACGCACAAACACTGCAATACACACAAACACTACAATACACACAAACATTGCAATACGCACAAACACTACAATACACACAAACATTGCAATACACAAAAAACACTACAATACGCACAAAACACTACAATACGCACAACCACTACAATACGCACAAACACTACAATACACACAAACATTGCAATACACAAAAACACTACAATACGCACAAACACTGTAATACGCACAAACACTACAATACACACAAACACTAATACACACAAACACTAATACCACACAAACACTACAATACCCCACAAACGCTACAATACGCACAAACACTACAATACACACAAACACTACAATACACACAAACATTGCAATACACACAAACACTACAATACGCACAAACACTGCAATACGCACAAACACTACAATACACACAAACACTAATACACACAAACACTACAATACGCACAAACACTACAATACGCACAAACACTACAATACACAAAAAAACAAAACATTGCAATACACAAAAAACACTACAATACGCACAAACACTACAATACGCACAAACACTACAATACACACAAACACTACAAATACGCACAAACACTACAATACACACAAACATTGCAATACACACAAACACTACAATACGCACAAACACTGCAATACGCACAAACACTACAATACACAAAAACACTAATACACACAAACACTACAATACGCACAAACACTACAATACACACAAACATTGCAATACACACAAACACTACAATACGCACAAACACTACAATACGCCCCAAACACTACAATACGCACAAACACTACAATACACACAAACACTAATACACACAAACACTACAATACGCACAAACACTACAATACGCACAAACACTACAATACACACAAACATTGCAATACACACAAACACTACAATACGCACAAACACTACAATACACACAAACACTACAATACGCACAAACACTACAATATGCACAAACCTGCAATACGCACAAACACTACAATACACACAAACACTAATACACACAAACACTACAATACGCACAAACACTACAATACACACAAACATTGCAATACACACAAACACTACAATACGCACAAACACTACAATACACAAAAAACACTACAATACACACAAACACTACAATACGCACAAACACTACAATACACACAAACACATAATACACACAAACACTAAAATACGCACAAACGTACAATACACACAAACATTGCAATACACACAAACACTACAATACGCACAAACACTACAATACACAAACACTACAATACACACAAACACTACAATACGCACAAACACTACAATACACACAAAACACTAATACACACAAACACTACAATACGCACAAACACTACAATACACACATACACTAATACACACAAACACTACAATACGCACAAACACTACAATACACACAAACATGCTTACACACAAACACTACAATACGCACAAACACTACAATACACACAAACATTGCAATACACACAAACACTACAATACGCACAAACACTACAATACACACCAAACCCCTAATACACACAACCCACTACAATACGCACAAACACTACAATACGCACAAAAAACTACAATACGCACAAACACTACAATACACACAAACACTAATACACACAAACACTACAATACGCAACAAACACTACAATACACACAAAATTGCAATACACACAAACACTACAATACGCACAAACACTACAATACACACAAACACTAATACACACAAACACTAAAATACGCACAAACACTGCAATACGCACAAACACTACAATACGCACAAACACTACAATACACACAAACACTAATACACACAAACATTACAATACGCACAAACACTACAATACCCCACAAACACTACAATACACACAAACATTGCAATACACACAAACACTACAATACGCACAAACACTACAATACACACAAACACTACAATACGCACAAACACTAATACACACAAACACTACAATACACACAAACACTAATACACACAAACACTACAATACGCACAAACACTACAATACACACAAAAACTAATACACACAAATACTACAATACGCACAAACACTACAATACGCACAAACACTACAATACACACAAACACTAATACAAAACAAAACACTACAATACGCACAAACACTACAATACACACAAACACTACAATACACACAACCACAATACACCAAACACTACAATACACACAAACACTACAATACACACAAACACTACAATACACACAAACACTACAATACACACAAACACTAATACACACAAACACTACAATATGCACAAACACTACAATACACACAAAACACTACAATACAACACAAACACTTCATACGCACAAACACTACAATACACACAAACACTTCAATACACACAAACACTACAATACACACAAACACTAAAATTACACACAAACACTTCAATACGCACAAACACTACAATACTCACAAACACTAATACACACAAACACTACAATACGCACAAACACTACAATACGCACAAACACTACAATACACACAAACACTAATACACACAAAAACTACAATACGCACAAACACTACAATACGCACAAACACTACAATACACACAAACACTACAATACGCACAAACACTACAATACGCACAAACACTACAATACACACAACTACAATACACACAAACACTACAATACGCACAAACACTACAATACGCACATGCAAAACACCCACAATACGCTCTTTTTCCCAGACTGACCAGGCGTATCTAAAAACCCGCCCACTAAATCATAGCGTATATTCAACATTTTTACGCAATTCTCCAGTTCAATGGTAAGCCAGAGTACTATACTAGTTCAAACAGCTAAAGTTCAATCTAGTGCTCTAGACATGTACTCTCTTTTTCTCGTACTCAAGTACCTTGATTTGATCCTTTCCAGTAAATAGAATCATTTTTTGTACTCAGTGAAATGCACTTACTCCTGTTTTTGTACTCAGTTACTTAGATTCAATCTTTTCCTTGTACTCAGCACCTGTGTAGTACTCACTATCTGTCTAGAATACCTGTTAAATACTCAGCGCATGAGTACTAAACGTGTTAAGTACAGATGTCTTGTACGCAACAAGCTTAGTACTCATTACGTGTCTAGTAGTCAACATGTGTCTAGCACTCAACACGTGTCTAGTACTTAACACGTGTCTAGTACTCAACACGTGTCTGGTACTCTACACGTTTCTGGAACCCAACACGTGTCTCCTCCTTAACACGTGTACGGTACTCAACACGTGTCTAGTACTCAACACGTGTCTAGTACTCAACACGTGTCTAGTACTCAACACGTGTCTAGTACTCACCACGTGTCTAGTAATCACCACGTGTCTAGTACTCAACATGTGTCTTGTACTCACCACGTGTCTAGTACTCAACACGTGTCTAGTACTCACCACGTGTCTAGTACTCAACATGTGTCTTGTACTCACCACGTGTCTAGTACTCAACATGTGTCTAGTACTCACCACGTGTCTAGTACTCAACACGTGTCTAGTACTTAACGTGTGTCAAAACTTGTATGATAAATTCCTCCAGAGGACATTTTTTCTTGTGTACTCACCATAATTGGAGGTAAACAGAAGAAATAAGAGGTTAATCATGTTTGTGTCGCTGTTTCGCCCACTTATCGTGGTTTTACGAAGTCAGCAGTACACAGGGTCGAAACCACGCGCTTTCTCTCACTAATCCACATTCACAAGCACGCGTGTGAGAAACGATGCACTGGAACGCTTGAAAGGTGTCAGGTTTGTCCGGAGACCCGCGCGGCACACCCTCCCCTCACAAGCACCGACGGTCTACTGAATTTTTCAATGGAAACTGGAATGAATGGACCTCGTGTACTGAGGCGGGGGAAGTGGAAGCAGTAGGGTGGCCGGCCCACCCAGCAGCCTGCTACTGCCAGCTTCCCTTCCCCCCATGCTCCTACCTGACCAGCATACGCAATACTCATTACCTGTTATCTTTTAAGCTGGGGGGGGGGGGGGAGGGAATGCGCCTCTCACCCCCGTATTATAGGGGGATGGTTTTGGTCTGGGGATGTCTTGAGAAGTGGATTGAAGAGGCACGGGGGAGGGGCGGGGGGAAGTGGACTGGAAGGTGTGTCGATTGTAAACATGTGGGTTCATGTAAGTCAGGTCTTGAGAGATCTCCGAGTCAATCACTGCACTCTGGAAGCTGTGAGTGCCTCCTTCAGCTCTGGCGGACACGCCTGACTTCCTTCCCACCCCCTTCCTCTGTCTCTCTCTCTCTCTCTCTCTCTCTCTCTCTCTCTCTCTCTCTCTCTCTCATCTCTCTCTCTGTCTGTCTGTCTCTCTCTCTCTCTCTCTCTCTCTCTCTCTTCTCTCCTCTCTCTCTCTCTCTCTCTCTCCTCTCTCTCTCTCTCTCTCTCGGACCTTGTCTTCTAGCGGGGCAAATACAGATAAATATGACACATGCACAAAACCTGCGTATCTTTAACGTTAAGACGTTTCGCCCACCATTGACTATCAGTAAAATGCAGAGAATAATCTACTGGAGAGTGTAGAGAAGTAGTAATAGCAGCAGCAGCAGCAGCAGCAGCAGCAGCAGCAGCAGTAGTAGTAGTAGTAGTAGTAGTAGTAGTAGTAGTAGTAGTAATAGTAGTAGTAGTAGTAGTAGTAGCAGTAGTAGTAGTAGTAGTAGTAGTAGCAGCAGCAGCAGCAGTAGTAGTAGTAGTAGTAGTAGTAGTAGTAGTAGTAGTAGTAGAAGTAATGTAGTTAGTGTGTAGTGTAGTGTAGTAGTAGTAGTAAGTGTAGTACGTATTTGTAGTGTAGTAGTAGAAGATATAGAAATGTAAAGAATAAATAATTATAGTTTTAGTAGTGGTGCAGCAGCAGCAGCAGCAGCGCAGCAGCAGCAGTAGTAGAGTAGAGTAGTAGTAGTGTAGTGTAGAGCAGCAGTGTGTATAGCACGTAGTAGAGTAGTAGTAGTGTAGTAGTAGAAGTAATGTAGTGTAGTGTAGACAGCAGCAGCAGGCAGTATAGTGTAGTAGTTGTAATAGAGTAATTAAAAATAGTAGTAGTAGAAGTAATAGTAGTGTATTTGTGTAGTAGCAGCGCGAGCGGGTTGTAGTGTAGTATAATAAAAAATAGTGTAGTAGTAGTATTTTGTGCAGATATAGTGTAGTAGAAGTAATGTAGTAGTGTATAGTAATAGTAGTGTAGTTTTTAGTAGTAGAAGAAAATAGTGTTGTAGAGTAGTATTTAGTAGTAGTGTAGTAGTAGTAATTTTAGTTTGTAGTGTAGAGTAGTAGTAATGAAGAAATAGTAGTGTGTAGTGTAGAGCAGTAGTAGTTGTGTAGTAGAAGAAATGTGTAGTAGTAGGTAGAGTAGTGCAGTAGTGTAGTGTGTGTAGTAGTAGTGTAATGTAGTAAGTAGTATTTGCAGTAGTGTAATAGAAGAAAGTGTAGTGTAGTGTAGTGCAGCAGCGCAGCAGCAGCGCAGCGTAGTGTAGTAGTTGTAGCAGCACCCAGCAGTGTGTAGTAGTAGCAGCGCAGCATTTTAGTTAGTAGTTAGTAGTATTTGCAGTAGTGTAGTAGTAGTGAAGAAATTAGTAGTAGTAGTAGTAGTAGTGTGTTTGCAGTATAGTGTAGTATTTTGTGTGAGCAGCAGTAGTAGTAGAGCAGCAGCGCAGCAGCAGCAGCAAGCGCAGCGCCCCAGCAGACCCAGCAGCAGAAAGTGTAGTAAGTAGATTAGTAGTATGCAGCGAGCAGTAGTAAGTAGTAGTAGTTGTAGTAGTGTAGTTCAGCGTAGTGTGTAGTAGTAGAGTAATAGTAGTAGTAGTAGTGGGTAGTAGTAGTGAGTAGTAGCATTGTAGTAGTGAGTAGGTAAAATGAGTAGTAGTAGTAGTTGTAGCAGCAGCGCAGCAGGTAGTTTTGTAGTTAAGAAAGATTTTAGTAGTATGTAGTAGAAGTAATAGTAGTAGTAGTAGTAGCGCGCAGCAGCAGCAGTAGTAGTAGTGAAATTAAAAAAAGTATAGTGTAGTAGTAGTAGTAGCAGCGGTAGTTTTGTAGTAGAAGTAATGAGTGTAGTAGTAGGTGTAGTGTATAGTAGTAGTAGCGCGTATGTGTAGTGTGTAAAAGTAATGTAAGTAGTAGTTTTGTAGTAGTAGTAGGCAGTAGAGTGTAGTAGTAGTAGTAGCAGTAGTAGTGTAGTAATGAAAAGTAATGTAGTGTTTTTGTGGAGAGAGGGTAAGCACGAGAGAGAAAGAGAGAGAGTAGTAGTAGTAGTAGTAGGTGATAGTATTTTAGAGTTAGAAAGTATTTAGTAAATAGAGTAATAGTAGTAGTAGTGTAGGGGCCCCAGCAGAAAGCAGCACCCCCAAAGCAGCAGTGTAGTGTAGTAGTAGAGTAGTAGGAAGCGAGTAGTGTAGTGTAGTAGTATTTTGTAGAGAGGGAACCCCATATAAAAAAATTTAAAATTTTCAGAAAGGGGTAGTAGTAGTGTAGTAAAGGACGAAAAGTGTCTCTGGACCAGTGTGTTACTATGGCTGGATCCCACAGTCATTTCCCTGGTGGGGCTGTGGAAGTTTCTTGTCTTTTCTTCAAAACGTACGGTCTTCTTAAAAGTGAACGTGGGATTTCGTTTCAGGTATACAGAGTAAGATCAGGGAAAAGATGGCCCCACTAAAAAATTTCCCTGGGGTCGCTCACTGACAGGATAAGGAAATGTGTAGAATTTTTAAACATACTTCCTCTCGTTTTTACACGGGGATACCAGTGATATTCCAGTAATGATAAATTTATTGAAAGGACGATAAAAAAATGTGCATTTTTGGGTCACAAGTGACATGGTCCTTGGAAAAATAGATAAATTAAAACCAAACAAACCCCGGCCCCTGATGAACTGTAGAAGGGTTCTAAAAGGAATGAAAAAGAGGAGCTTACCCCCTTTGGCTAATCTTTTCAACATATCACTAAAAAAAACTGGCTGGTGCCAGAAAAGGGGAAAAATGGAAAAAGTGATCCCTATTTTCAAAACAGGTGACGGCCCTTAGCTTCGAATATAGCCAAATAACCCCAAACCCCTAGGGGGAAAAATTTATGGAATCAAAAATTGCCGAGGCTTTCTTTTGCCCCCTTAAAAAAGCAAAAAAATAACGAATTCAGCATGGTTTTACAAAGGGATTTCCCTGCCTTCGAATTTTAAAATTTTTTTTCACTAAGGTATTTGAGGAGGTGATAGGGTAACGAATTTGATTTGTGATATGGATTCATTTAAAGGCTTTTGCGGGGGTTCCCAATCAGAGACTTTTGGGGAAAATTAAAGCCGGAAAATAGGAGGAGAAATTTTTTCCTGGATGAGGCAGGGTTTGACAAATAGGCGCAGAGAGTTTGCATAAATGGGGAGAAATAAAAAAAGAGGGGGGAAAAGCGCCCGGCGGTGTTCCAAGGGGTCGTGTTGGGCCCCCCTGCTGTCCAATCTAATAAACGACATGATGAGGGCATAAAAGGGGGACTCGGAATTTGCCGATGACACCAAAATGGCCGCGAAATTTATTCTGACGAGGCATTGAGCACTCAGGAAGATTTGAATGACTGATGCAGTGGTCGGAGAAGTGGCAGATGCAGTTTAAAATGCAATGCAAAGTTCTAAATGTTGGACAGGCAAAACCATGCCAATATAAACTAATAATGTAACCTTTAAAATTACGGATTGCGAAAAAGATTTAGGGGAAGTTGGGGAGCATATCGAAAACCCCGAAACAGTGCATAAAATGTTCGCAATAAAGCTATAGAATCCTTGGGTTCATATCAAAAAAGCATAAAATTAAAAGGTTCCTCGGTTGTTCTTCAACTCTATAATCCTTGGTTAGGCCTCATTTGTTATGTGCACAGTTTTGGGACCGTATTACAGAATGGTATAAAAATTTCTGGGGAAAAAAACAAAGGAGGTGACAAAAGATCCCATGTATCAGAAAAAACCCTTCCTATGGGATAGACTAAGGGGCCTGAAACTCACTCTCTAGAAAGAGTAGAATTAGGGGGGGGTATGTTGAGGTTTATAAGTGGGACAGGATAAATAAAGGGGATGTAAAAATGTGCTGATAATATCTAGCCCAGACAGGACTGCAGCAATGGGTTTTTAAATTGGAAAAAATTTTAGATTCGGAGGGATATGGAAGTTGGTTTGGTAATAGAGTTGTGGATGGTGGAACAAAAATCCAAGTACCGTTATAGAGGCCAGAAGTTGTGTAGCTTTAAAAATGGTTTGGTTTTAAAAATGAGTAGAGTGGGTGGGTGTGGTTAGACCCGATAGCTTGTCTAACGGGTCGGTTGCCGTGTTCCCCCTTGATTTAATGTGACCGATGACTAGGTTTGGGGGCATTGGCCCCTTTAAACCCGGGAGGGCTTGGACCTGCTCGCATGGGGCCCGAGGCCTTCTGCAGTGTTCCCTTGTTTTTTATGTTTTATGTTTTTAATATTACCTGGAAGTTTACCTGGAGAGAGTTCCCCGGGGGTCAATGCCCCCCCGGGCCCCGGGCTGTGACCAGGCCCCATGGTGGATGATAGTGATCAACCCGGCTGTTATCTGCTGCAGCAACCAAGTCGGCCACAGCCCGGCTGGTCAGGAAAAAAGATTTAGGGTTGTCCCAGTGCCCCCTTGAAAACTGCCCGGGGTCTATTGGTAATCCCCCTTTTGTATGCTGGGAGGCAGTTTTTAACAGTCTCGGGCCCCCGACTTTTGTATTGTTCTTAACGTGCAGTGAACCCTGCTTTTCATTGGGGGATGTTGCATCATTGCCCGGTTTTTTTCTTTCGTTTGTGAGTG